AGAAGTATATACTGAAGGGGCAGACACCGAACTTCGACACATTCCCAAAGCTAAGGGATCACTGGGACGAGTTCGTTGCATATAAGACAGGTGAACAAGGGAAGGCGATGATGGAAAGAAACAAAGAAAATGCCGCCAAGAAGAAGTACCATCACCACTTGGGGTCAGGAGGCTATAGCGTCGCGATGCCGAAGTGGGAGCAGATGGAGGCTAGCTTGATTGAGAGGGGTATCGAACCGGCAACAGCCAATTGGCCGGAACGATCGAAGTTCTGGTACTATGCTCACGGTGGAACGCTCAACCCAGCTGATGGCTCACTGGTCTTCGGCTATCAGATACAAGAGGCTGCGCGACGACTAACAGATGCAGTGGAAGCCTCCTCTCAGGGCACGTTCCGACCAGACAGAGATAGGGACGAGCTGACACTCGCCCTGCAGACTCCAGAGCATCCAGGACGAACTCGAGGGAAAGGGGTGATTCCTTGGAAGATTGGTTTCAAGGAGGACATCCACACGTACAGGAGTCGGATGAGGAGCAAGAGAGATACCGAGGCGAAGATTGCAGACCTAGAGTTCCGGGTATCGAGCTACGAACTCAACATGCAAGAGGAGGTGGCAAGGAAGGTTGATGAACGCATGGCCGCACATCGGTCCCATGATCCCCAGCCGACCATTCCTCCTGCAATGGTGAGCCCGTCAGGAAACCGTAGCAGCTGCGCCTCAACGGGGCAGGTAGGATCACAGAGCATGGACGCCATGCAAACACAGGACGAATCGACCTGTCCCGTTGATGACATCACTCAGCGGACACCATGTGAGCTGCATATTCCTTTGAAGAACTTATCAATAAAGGTAAGATTTAGCCATTCCGCTAGTTGCTGCTTATATATGTTGATTACTAATAAATAATCTCTCACAACATGAAGGTGGCGTCGGGCATGGCCATCCCAACGGACCCTTCAGGTACTTACCACTGCAGGCCGATTCCAGCAGGATACTCCAAGGTCGAAGTTGAGTTGGTCGAAGGCGCGTACGAGGACCTCGAGCTGGATTACCCTGGAGGAGACGGTGAGACGCATCTACGAGACACATGCCATGCCATTATTCTATGGCGCAGGCGGTACATCATCCTCCCTGGGCGACAAGCGGCGTCTCGTGCACCATCTCCTCCGGCTCCGCCATCTCCTCCTCAGGATCCTGCACCGTCTCCTCCTCATGCTCCGCCAGCACCGTCTCCACCTCAGGCTCCAGCATCGACTCCTCAGGATCCTGCACCGACTCCTCCTCGTGCTCCTACACCTACTCCCCCGCAAGCTCCTCTTCCGGCACCTTCAAAGTCAAGGGCCCCCCCAGCTCCACCGCTTGCCCACACAAGGGCAACAAAGAAGACGAAAGTTGACGCCGCCAAGATCAAGGACCCGGGGTACGATTGCACGCAAGAGGAGCTTGACGCTTACGTTGCATCAGAAGTCAAGAGACAATTCAAGCCTCGAAGTCCAGAAAAGAAGATTCCTATAGACCCCAGTGTCAGGAACTTCTTCAGGGGTATGTCTGCATCTGTCAAGGAGGCCATCAAGCTATCGGACTATGAGCGAACGCTGAAGAAAGCATCTTCTGGAAAGTCCAAACCAGTCCCTCAGCTTGGAGAGCAACCAAACCAGGAGATCGAGCCGTTGGTGACCGGTAAAGAAATGACGATAGAACAATTTATTACTGACACCGGTCTAACTACGGATCAATTGCTAGGAGTCGCACCAATCGAAAAGGCGGAAGTGAAATACATGTACGAACTCGGTAAACCGCTTGTCAAGCCTGAGCTGCTGCAGTCCCTACCCACACAAATGTACAAGTTCCATCAGCTGTACATGGAGATGAGCGCCACCGGTAGAGAGATGATCGGAGCGAGGATCAGGGACACGGACTTCTTGCAAGGAGATGACATTCTCTGGATCAATTTCAGGGGAATCTACGAACTATACCAGCTGGACGCCCTCGACGTCTCTATTATGAGTTGCTGGATTTTGTAAGTATATCGTTCAGTTAGATTTCTTACTATATGTCTCCTTTAATTAATTAGGTCCTTGTATATAAGTAGACCATAGAAAATAATATACTCCCTTTTATCGTTGTAGAATGGAGATTCAAAGGGCCCGACGGCGGAGGGTTTTCGATACTGGATTCATCGACCCTCGGAAAGTAAACGTCGCAATGCTCGACCAATATCCACAAGAAACAGAGGACAATCTCGTCCATCTCCTGAAGGCGCAGCATTACAAGACGTTCATACTGTTGCCATACAACACAGAGTTAGTTTAATTTTACTGTCTTCCTACATACCAAATTTCATTCCCGTACGAACTTGCTAAGTGTTTCATATGTAATGCATCCCACGCACATTGCAGATTCCACTGGGTGCTTTTACGCATCGACCTGGAGGCCTGCACCGTCAACGTATATGACTCAATGGATAAAAAAGAGTCTACGTTTGACAAGGTTTTCGAACTTATAAACAGGTACCGTCATAAGTTCCTTTGTTAATTAAGAAAATCTTGTTATGTTAATTGCTACTACGAATCATAGCTTTAAACTCCATGTAGGGCTTGGTATCGGTTCCGTCATTTGGTCCGCGGCAAATGGAGAGAAAGACTTAGGCGGAAGTTCAAATTTCCTGTGAGTACACATGCTCTACATTTATATTTCTCCGATTCAAATACATACAAGTGTATATTAATTAGATCTCTCGTTGTTTGTCATTTATTTGTAGTGCGCAAAGCAAAAGCAGGGAACTAACTTGTGCGGCTATTACGTGTGCGAGTATTGCCACTGCCTTGCAGACCAAATCATCACCACAAGAGAGCTCGATGTACGTACAAATAAATTCAAAATTTCATTACGTAGCGATTTCTTGTTTAATTACTAATCAATTTCATACATTCATATAGTTTATTCGCATGAGGGATAACCTGACCACACACAAGGAATTTATCGCGGCGGTTCAAGAACAACTCATGGGATTCATCAACGAAGAAATCCTTGATCCCAAGGGTGAATTCTACTACGACGGAAACACAATTCACCGGTCCTTAGCTTCTGAGCTAGCAGCGAGTACTACTACGTCGAAATCGTAACTAGCTAGGACATATAATGGATTGTAATTAATACATGACTACATATGTTTCTATATGCATGTGTACACATTTTCTATAATGTAAATATATTTTGTTCATATATATATCTATATACATATGCATTTGCATAACATATATATGTATAAATACATATATATATGTATGCATATATATGTATTGAAACATATATATGCATGGTTTATATATATATATATATATATATATATATATATATATATATATATATATATATATATATATATATATATATATATATATATATATATATATATATATATATATATATAAACCATGCAGCAACAGGGGCATGCAAAAAAAAAAGGTCAGCTCTATCTTTAGTCCCGGTTATTTCACCCGGGACTAAAGATAGCGATCTTTAGTCCCGGATTGGTACTCCCGGTTTGGAAACCGGGACTAAAGGGGGGTTACGAACCGGGACTACAAAGGGTTTCTCCACCAGTGTTACTTATATCTCATACTCTCAATAATTCTCGAGGAAAGTTTTGAAAAGAACAATGAGTAACTTCCGGTGAAAATTTAAGATCACGTTGTGAAGAGACATAATTGAAAGCAGTATATTAATTAATTGGTGATAGAGACTCTTTTTGGTTGAAAACAACACGTTCATCCATCTTTGATGCAAATACTCTCTCCATCTCTAAATATTTGACGCCGTTGACTTTTTAAACATGTTTGACCATTCATCTTATTCAAAAAATTTAAGTAATTATTAATTCTTTTCCTATAATTTGATTCATTGTTAAATATACTTTTATGTATACGTATAGTTTTACATATTTCACAAAAGTTTTTGAATAAGACGAACGGTTAAACATGCTTAAAAAAGTCAACAGCGCCAAATATTTAGGGGCGGAGGGAGTAATAGTTTATGAGGTCAAGTGAAATAGTTAGTTTACAATTATAAGTTAGTTTGTAATTAATTATATGTAAGTTATAACGTAAATACATCGTGATTGTACCATATTTTCATATGTACAAATTTCTTAGTTAAAATTTAACGACAAAATATATAGGTAGTCCCAATAATATTTACAAACATTGGTTTGATTCTCCACCGTGGTGAAATTTGTACTGTCACATGTTGTTTCAAAATTTTGTACTGTCACATGTCTGTGTTCTTTACTTGGAGGTTAGGAACTCATCTCCCTGCACGGAAAACGGAGCAGTCTATTAGCGCGTGATTAATTAAATATTAGCTATTTGATTTTTAAAGCAAATTTCGTATATAACTTTTTTGTAAAAAACGTACCGTTTAACAATTTGAAAAACGTACGCGCGGAAAATGAAGTAGTGGTCTTGGAAACTAGAATGAAGTTCCCAACACACCCAAGGTATGGCAGAGTGTGATAGAGTGCTGATTTTTTTGCAAGTTTTACTGCTACTCCCTCCATCGTAAGATATAAGGGATAACTAATTTTTTCTCATGTCTCGTAATATAAGATGTGTATGTACTATGTATACATATATTAACTAGCATCTCTCAATCCTTTAAATTTGATTTGCTTTAAATCATATTGCTTGTATGTATGGATCTGATCTAATTGAAGAGGTGATTAATTTTTTTTCTTGGTCTTTGCATTATAAGTAGTTGAGCACTTAAGCCTTATATTTTTGGATGGAAGGAGTAGGGAACAAACCAAACAAGCCTAAATTAAGTCAAGGTGTAATTTTTTTTTTCTTCCCACAGTCAATTCACTAATTTAACACGCTCGAAGAATTCCAATAGTCCAATCAACCCTTAAAAAAATTCTTAGACAGCCTATCACTAGGGGTTGCAAACACGCCAAAAAGATTAGCTCACTTATCCTAATTAACACTCCATTAAACATTTAAACCCAACACATTTCTTCACCCAGCTAAGACAAACCCAGCAACAATGGCCAAGAAGCTCCTCGCCGCGGCCGCCGCCCTCCTCCTCCTCCTCGCCGCCGCCGCGCAGGCGCTCGCGTCGTCGTCGTCGTCGCCGGGGAGCGCAAACCTCACGGCGACGCCGACGGCGTACGAGATGGTGGAGCGGTACGGCTTCCCGCGCGGCATCCTCCCGGAGGGCGTGGAGTCGTACGTGCTCCGCCCCGACGGCTCCTTCGAGGTGCGCCTCTCCGGCGACGGCAACGGCGGCGGAGACTGCGAGTTCCGCGTGGGCGACGGCGGCGCGTACCTGCTCCGGTACGGGCGGCGCGTGGCCGGGGTGGCGATGGAAGGCTCGATCCGGTCGCTGGAGGGGGTGAGCGTGAAGGTGCTGTTCGCGTGGCTCGGCATCGGCCGCGTCGACCGCGCCGGCGACGACCTCCGGTTCTTCGTCGGCCCTCTCTCCGCCGCCTTCCCGCTCGCCAACTTCGCCGACTGCCCGCGCTGCCGCTGCGGCTTCGACTGCGACACCGCCGCCGCCGCCGACGTGATCGCCGCTTCTTGATCGAACGTGTTCTTGGCGTTCCTCGACGTGTGCTCAGCTGATGCAAGCTCGAATGCTTCATGCCACTGAGAATCTGTACAAATTATGTGCTCTTTGATCCATTAATAATACAGATTGGGGAATGGATTTGATCGATCATGGATGGATTAATCTATGCCTTTCCGAGATCAATATGAAAAATTGCAAAACCAGCATCCTCATGGTTAACTAGAATAACTTGGTACTGACGTACTGAAAAATATAAACCACCATAAAAAAAATCACCAAATGAATTTGTACTGACGTACTGATCATTTTAGTTTGGGAGAATAGCTGATTTGGGAGTAGTAGTTTGATGAGTCATCGACGCATTTGCTTCACTTCCGTCCCTGAAGTTCTAATTCGTACAATCAAGCATTCCAAATTTACTTTCAAAAAAAAAAAAACCCAAGCATTTCAGATATGTCCTATGGTCCAAAATGCATTTTAGCAGACATTACGCAGCACCAATGTTACCATGAGCCAAAACTTAGCTATGCATTTTAAAAAAATGTTTTGTGAGGGAGAATCTTTGGTAAATGATACTGATGGGTGGAGGAATATGCTGGTAGTGTGGATGAGATAGTTGGATCTTGCAGCAAGACAAAGATTTGTTTAGGGAAAGAAAGGATTCCTCTGGCCTGGTTGATGTGCTTCAGACAGTGTGGCAATGCCACTCCGGTCAACTGTCTGTCCCCCATTGGCCTGAACTCTGAACTGAACCAGCTTCTTCAAACTGTCTGGTCTACTGTTTGCCTTCAGCTTATATAAGCCATTGCCAGAATTTAAAATTTTTAAACTTAATTGTGCAGTTGATTTGGTGATTTTTTTTATGGTGGATTATTTTTCAGCATTAGCTTTTAAATCGCTAATAATATGTATATAAAAGTTGGGCTGAGAGTTTTTTTTTTTTTGGCTGAAAAGGCATTATGGTTTATAGCCAGCATGTGCCAAACGATGGTGCAATGAATATCAATCCTAATGCACATATATTGCCTAGTATCCATAATGCATTTGTAATTCATACTGGAATTAACGAATCAGGAAAGGAAGCTGCAGAGATCTATCTATTATCTATTATATACTAAAAGTTCATTAAACTTCCTATAAACACTCCTAAGCCGCTATGTGGCATCCTATAAACGCTCTCGAGACGCCACATGTCACTCTAACAAAATAGAAAAATTTGACCATCGATTTTCATTTAAATTGGTGGACCCATTAATTTTGACCGTTAGATTTATTTTTACATTAAAATAAAATCCCCCTACGACGCCTCCACAATGTACGTACTATCCATCAATCTATCAGCAACGTATGTACGTACGATCCCTCCGTTTCCATTTTTTTTTCATTTTTCTATTTCCATAATAATTAAATTAGAAAAATGCATGCCTAAAAAATCCATCAATCTACTAGATCTATTCTTCCTCTAGCACATCCTAATAAGTCCATTAAACATCATATAAATATTACCAAACATCTATTTGACACCTAAATTAGAGAAAATCTAAAAAGATATAAAACATTCGTTCATCGATTTACATTATTTTAGGTTATTATATATATCTTTTTCTTACGTAAAACATCCCAAACTCCCTTCGCGCTCCTATGTGGCGTTAAAACCCATTAACCATCCTTATAAATGTTTGTAAACCACTCTGTAACACTTCGTATATAGAGTAAATAATAAAAATTTAAGAATAAAACATATAATCATTGGTTTCGACTTAAATCGTTGGGCATACCATTTAGGTTGTCATGAGATTTGTATTTAAAAAAAGAAACAAACCTCCTTTCCTCTCTCCCCCACCCAACAATGTCGAAGCCTTATACATTAAACATCCAACACATTATTTTAGTCATTATATCAATCTTTTATTTTTTTGAAAAAAATATATCAATAATTTATTTAAGAAAAACATCTCGCCCACCTTATCCCTATGTGGTGTGCATCGTTCATCCTTTTCTCTTATTTTTATTCTTATAATAATTGAAATTAAAATTATCTTTATGGGAAAAAACCACAAATGGACCTCCACATAACAGGTCTAGCTAGCTCTCCCATGATCCCTTTTCTTCTCTTTCTCATCTTACTAACATTTATGGGAACAATATAAATAAAGTAATATAATCTTTTAAATCATATATTCAACTTATGATTTGTTTGAACTATTGTATTTTCTTAGTGAAATCAACTTTAAGATCCATATTGAGTATATTTAAATGCTAACATAAAAATTACATTCCGGACCCACATCCATCTTGAGGCATCCACTTAGTAAAAAAATGAAAATTCATCATTATAAATCAAAATATCACATCTTAATTTTTAATAAAGCCTGTAGACCTATTACTTGTATCCAATTAGACACGTAACAACTTTCTATCAACTTAATTAATTTCTCTCAACATGTATATGGGGGTAATTTGCCTATACAATTTGACTTTGGTGCTTTTATCAATAAATGATATTTTTAGGAGATAAAATTATATATAATCTATGAAGTCACTAATAAATTAGAGGAAAAAAATCTTTAAATGATAACAATTTTATGTCATAATGTGTACTCCATCTAGCGTTAATTTTTTATAGACAACATTTTAAAAGTAAAAAACATGCTCAGTTGAACATCCAACTGATAGTACCAAACATGTGGATTGCACCAAGAAATCTTTTTTTTTTTTGAGGAAATGCACCAAGAAATCTTAGCAGTGAAACAACTCTGAGGTGGCATTACCAATATAGTGAATATAGTGAGTTAATTCCATATGGAATTAAAGACCATGTTCATTTATTTCTTTTTGGTAAAACTTGCTATGCTACATCGTAAATTCATAATATTTACTGTAGAATAATATAGAAATGTGCATTTATTATATGACCTCTATTTTCATATTCATACTCAATTCCAGAGAGATAATTAGAATAGATGATTTTACCCCATGTCAGGTTGTAGGCTTAACCCACATATATTTATAACCCAAATTGCAGATATCAAATCATTTCAAAGATGCTTGGTAGAATGGAATTCTCCAATTTATTAAAAATGGACATGAAAAGAATTCAAAATTTATGTAAATGTTTTAAAAAATTGTTGGGTTTAAAACCCGTTCTAAATGGAAATATTCAAATATTTTAGCAGGACTAATAGAACGAAAATATCTAAAATTTCGAATAGAATCTGATAAAAATTTGGACTTTTTGAGCAAATGTTTGGGGAAAGATATCCCCATGGGTAGTTGAAATACCCAAAATTTTTTCATAGGAACTACATCTATTGTCTCGACATAATATTATCTCATAAATTAAAAACTGTACGATTTTAAGTAATTTTAGTTTAGAATTTATGTGCTACAAGGGTAATTAGAAGAAAATCATAACCAACGTTGAAAGCACATTAAATAAGTTAAATAATAATTTATATATAGTAAAGTAATATTTTAATACAAAGTCACATATATAGATATTCGTAATAAAATTTCACACATATTAAATTAGGTGCACGCGCATGTGCGCGGGCTACCTTTCTAGTTAATGTGAAAAACTGCATGTATGGATCCAAAATAAAGAGTTGACATTGGACTTAATCCTCACTAATGGGCTGGTTCAGTTGTCCTACTTGTGTGGATTAGGCTTTCCAAAGGTAGGCTTGGCCCATAGGAGGATTGTGCAAAATGATGCTGTTATGGTCCTCTGTCTCTCTCTCTGTTTCTTTGTTCAACAAGGTTCACAGAGTCGTCACTCGAAATTTGTAATCCAACAGGTAAAAAAGATAGGAATACTTCTTTCAAAGATGTTTGGATCAAGAGGGCCGTTTTGGAAGGAACAAAATCCATAAGCCGTGGAAGCTGTAATTTTTCTTTGCAAATAAAGTGCACTGGTTTTGATTGAAAAACGTTGTACAAATAACTGGAATTTGCAAAACTGCAATGTTGTCAAAACTATCGTTTTGCAATATATCTTGAGAAATTTTATGGTTTAAGTGCTCCAGGGGTTTTGATTCATTTGTTTTCTTACTTAAATATATTGCATTACAAAATTAAAAGGGGTAAATTATCTTTCTGTGTTATAATTGGGTGGTGTCAATTCTATAAATTCTAAGCATACAGTGAAATAACACTTGGCACCGACAGCCACGGAGCCACCGCGAGTCCACGCATGCCACCGCCAACCACCTCAACGTGATGACTCATCGGTAGTTAGACACTAAAGCACAAAATCTATATCTATAACTAATATAAATATTCGTATTTTTCCGATCGTCACATCTAATTTTCGTTCGTTTTTCGTCCATACACAATCCGATTCGGTTAGCAATAGCCATGGAAAATATTGCAAAAAAAAATAAAAATAAAAATATCGGCGGCCGCCGCACCTCCCCTCCCCCCGATCTAGCGAAGGGGAGGGCGTCGCCGGCCCTCCCTCCGCCACCACACAGAGAGAAAGGGGGAGAAGTGGAAGTGAAGAGAGTGGGGGGGGAGGGTTGGGAGGGCGTCGCGCTGGGGGGAGGGCGCCGCCGCCGCCGCTCGCTGGGGGAGGGCGCACCGCCCCGCTGCCGCTACTCGGTGCGGCTCACCGAGGGGGGGGGGAGGGCGCCGCCGCCGCTCGCCGTGGGGGAAGGGCAGCGTCGCCGCTGCCGCTCGCCATGGGAAAGGCGGCGCCGCCGCCATACCCCGCCGCACCTCGCGCCGTGCTGGCGAGAAGGGAGGGACGGCGGCGGTGGTGGAAGAGACGGCACCAGTGGCAGGGGAGTCGGCCGACTGGGGGGGAGGGGGAGAGGCGGCATCGGGGGCGAGGGAGGAAGAGGCGGTGTCAGGGCGGGGGAGGAGGAGACGGCCGGCTCGGCTCGGCTAGGGGGGAGGGTGAGGGGGAGGGTTAGGTTTAGGGTTTTCATCAATTTTAAACTGATCTGAGCTGTCCATCAAAACGAACGGCTGAGATCGATCGAGAGTTTGGGCCGCACCACTTGGGCCGCACGTGGGCCGGCGGTCCACTAAGTGAGAGGAGGAGTATGGGGGTATTAAGTAGACTTTGGTCTCTTGCGAGCTTAAGAAGAAAATGGGCTGAAAAAGACCCATAGAGAAAAAATGATTTTTATTTAGATTTTTATTTTAATAAAT